TCCTTACATGATACACCTGAACATTGCAACTTGTAAATCGTTTTTTTTTTCTCCCCAACTTTATCTTGGTCTGCAAAAAAAACGCCATGTTTCAAATGGAAAGGCAAAATGGTCAAATCGTTTTCAGGAAAGCCCTGTTGATGTTAGGTTCCTTTTCTTTGGGAGTTGAGGGGCGGAGGGCCACCGGCCCCCGCCGAAGTTTCACGGATTCACAGAGGCGTACCTCGTGGTTTGTTTCGTGGCCTTGACGGAAATATCGCTGCCTCTACCTGGAGTCTCCCTTACCCCTTAAAACTCCAAGCCCTGAACAATTTAATCTTTTACAGACATATAGCCCATGTTACCCAAAACGTTGAAACGTTGTGTTTTTAAGAGGTAAGCTCCCTAAGGACCCGAAATAAAAATGGAAGGGCTCAAAACCCGAAATAATGGTTGGTCCATGGGGCCCATGTTTAATATGTTGCCTTTTGATACATTGGAGCCGTACCATATTTCGTCAATAGCGGTATCTTGACCATTCGGGAATAAGGGAATTTCGACGACGCCGGTCGTGGGTGCAGCAGCTTGTGGCTCACGTCAAGGCTTGGCCAGGTTTGGCTTTGGAAAACATGCCAGTGCAGATTGGCGGGCTGCGAACTTGACACGTGGTTTGCGGGAACCATCCTGGGCCGAGCTCCAGCCTGAAGCACACACACACACACCACTTGAAGAATCTGCTTGCACGATATTCAGGAACCATGGCATGCATCAAAGGCTTTCCAAGAGCAAGGCGCGTCTTGCCCGTCGACAGAAAACATGCGTGAACACGCTGAAAACAGAAGGTGTTATCAGCAGGGTTGGGCCTCCACCGTTACTTCAACAACCTCCGTTTGTGTTTGTCCCATTTGAAGCAGGATATCGGGTTTGGCTGTTTTAAGCGCACTTTCATTTTGCCCAACCCTGGCTCTCAGCCATCAGCAAAACTCAAACAGCGGTGTCGCCCCAAAACTGGGCTGCCCCGAAACTGTGACTAACTTTTAGTGGGTTAAATGGAAACTACCACTAAACAGTAAAAGGCTAAGAAGCTAAGGAACCGGATGGCTGGGAGCCAAGAAAAATGGTGCTTCTCCTTTTGGCTTCCCTTTCAATGCCAAACCGAAGAGGGTCCACCATTCTAGGCTGGAATGAGGACCCCAGCAAAAAATGAGATCTTTTTTGCCTGGTTAGTGGAACACAAAGGGACCCCCAAAAAAGAAAGAACAAAGAAGGGGGGAAGCTAATTCTGGGTCCACCGTTCCCTTGGTTGCCTACTCATTATACTTGCTGGTGCGATAGGCAGGGAATGAGAAATGGAATGACCCCGATTTAAACCGGCCATCCTATGGTTTCCTCTAAGGGACTCCCTAGGTTCACGAACGCATAGGCCCTGCCTCTGCCAGCCTCTGCCAATACTCAGTCATTTCGCCGGACCTGTCGGCTAGACTTTTTTTTTTTGACGAATCAAACGGGTGTTGCGCCTTTTGGTGGGTTTCCCTAGGGTGTTGCACCGAAAGCCAACTGGGCTGCCCGTTTTCTGATCCCCCGCTAAAAGTGTTTCTTTCAGCGGCTCAAATGGAAACTACCACTAAACACTAGGCTAAAAAGCTAGGGAGCCGGATGGCGGGGAGCCATCAAGTCAAAAGAAAGCTCTCCGTTTTGGGAGTCCCCCTCACCCCTTGACATGGAAACGCAGGTCCACCAGCCACGAAGCAGTCAGAACATTGGAAGCGCTGGTCCGAAGCTCCAAGATGGAGCACCCGACACCCAACGGGTTCGCTCGATCATAGATACATACATATATATATATATGGTATATACCCCCTACTCCAAATACTTTTTTGAGGGTATGATTTGTCGACCCTCTACTAAACACGGAGGTATTTACCTTGAAAAAACCAGGTTTTCCAAAAAAAACTTAGAACAAGTGGGTATTTGGAGTAGGGGGTATGTATATATATATATGTATGTATGTGTATATATATGTACCCCAAAAAAACAGCTTTGTGTTCTTTGGTAGACTCAAACAACAGGCCACAAAATGCATTACTTGTCTACTTCTGGCAAGTAAGATATGCGTGAACAATTGACCAAATTACTTGCATGATTCAAGCAACATTGAACATGACAATGGACAAATGCATAGTTGTTGTTCATGTTTAACAGTTTTCATTGGCCCCTTTTTCCTTCTGGAATTCACCCTGTTTAACTTGTCCCAAGTTTAAGCAAAAACAAGCAACAAGTAAAACTGTTGAACCCATGAAAAGCAAAACGTACAACTCTCAACAATAACATGTATACCTCTACCTGGACCACCCTGAAGGGTACACATCTTAGCTCCTTCTGCGAAAATCGCCGAAAAAACCGGCGGAAAAAAAAAAAAAAAACGGCAGTCTCACGAAACGGCCCAACAATTGTACCCTCAGCGTTGCCGAGCCGGCATATCAACGATCGCTTTCCGCGAAGGCCTCCATTTTTGGAGGGTACCCACATCTGGCATTGTCAGCTCACATAACCCTGGACTCAGAAACACAAAGTCTGCTTCTTGGCCCGGCCACACCCCGCATTTCGTTTGCAAATGATAACACTCCCCTTGACCAAGGGAGGTTGTTTCGAACAACAAATACCCAAAAGTGTTTCACTGTATAACCCGTGGCGGCTTAAGCAGCATAACATGGCCCTCCCAAATTTGTGTCTGAAAAATAGGAAATCTCGCAAAATAGCTTTGAAGGTCGCAATGGTTAATGGTTGGCCAAGGAAAAACCCTTCTTCGAAAAGACATATCTTCACCCCATCTCAAAAAGACTGTTTCAGCGCAGCAAATGTGATACAACCGAATAATCCACAAAGGTCGCGTAAGCTTGTACGATTCATAATCATTGATGCTCGCCTCCCCTCCCTCCACCCGCACACTGTATTTCTCTTCACCAGGGTACAACTACACAAGATGCGCAGTGGCTCTCTGATGCGCGCCAGCGAATGCGACAGTTCATGGGCAGTGCGAAGCTGGACACATCCAACAAATGCACGCCTGGAATCGCCACCCTGCAAAAAAGGGTCCATGGCGCCATTATTCTGGGCAATGACCAACCATTTTTAAAGAGTCATGAAGACTCTAGGACTCTAGGAAGGCACGGCTGCCAACTTGTTCGAATGGAGTGCAGCTTTGGGAACCCACGCCGAAAGAAATGGGTGATTTTGCCTTGGTGTGCCTTGAAACCCCCAACATGGTACAAAAAAAGACACACCCAAAGCAACAAGTCCGAAACAAGTGCAATGTACCTAATGTCAGGAGACGATTAGTAAACCCCCCCCCGATTAAAGGTTCCCCCTTTTCCCCCCCAGATTCTCACCAATACTAAACTAAATTGCCAACAAGGTTTCCCCAAAAAAAACCTACCCAATTATTGTTGGGCCCTCCCCAAAACCCCCCCTGATTAAAGGTATCCCTCTGCAGCCCCCAAGCCAACAAAAACCTTCTTGCTTAGTATTTGCTTAGTCTGTGCTTAAACCCACCAATACTAAGTCACTATTGAACCCCTCAAGTTTTTGCCAAAAATGTGCTTCCCCCGAAATGCATTTGTCTTTATTAAAATTTGTTTAAAAAGACAAGGTTTTCAAGCTCACAAAGGGGACCCCCCTTGGAGGCAAGTCCCCCCTCATTAACAGGAAACCCCCCGCGATTAATCAGGGTCCTTTTGGGCTCAAAACCAAAAAAATGTGCTGTTGCCTTTTAAAGTCCTACTGACCCGAAGGGACCAGAAGTAAGAGGACGAGGACCGAAGGGGCTCCAGAGTAATCAGGGGGGTCCTCCCAAAAATCTCAATTCTTGGGACTTGTCCAAACCTTGTGGACCTTGAAGGGTGGGGGGGGAGGGGGGGGGGTTTACTAATCAGTTGTCACCATTACTAGTCTTCCAAGGGTTGAGACCTGCGTTGCAAAGTTTTGATGCGATCGAGTTTTGATCTGAGTCTTACTGGAAAAATCGTTCAGCAGCCACGGCCATTGCCAAATCAACCCAATTCCCGGCCCGTCGGGCTCATATTCTTGAAAGATGTCCACCTGAAATACCGGAGAGAAAGACCGGTCGTGGGGTTGAAGCTCCTTTACTTGCAAGTGGCCGTGGCGGATGTTGGTGGCAGGAGCTAGTGGTTGATTTTGGGTCCAATGTGTCGGTTCCATCTAGTGACCTTGACACCTTTTGGGTTTTGTCTAGGCTGGAATTAGGACCCCGGCAAAAACATATCTTTGTTGCCTGGTTAGTGGACAACAAAGGGACCCCCAAAAAGCCCCCCCAAAAAAAGGGGAGCTAATTCTGGGGTTGTGGTGTTGGTTGTGACGCGTTGACTGATTCTGACACCGCCTTTCTTTCGGCGGCACTTTGCTCCTGCCCCCAATTGGGAAAATGTGCCTGCGCCCTCTCCAGAAAATATGATCCTTCTACCCACAAAGGAAATCAGTAGAAGGAATGGTCCTTGATATGGGAACACGTACTGGGTACTAAATAGGGGGTGTCTGGAAAAATTCAAGCAAACCAAAATGATCACCCAGCTTGGGGTGTAAAGACGCTGGTTTTTCACCCCCTCCTCCCTCCTCCCTCCCCCCCCCACTTCCTCCCCCCCCAACCTCGCCTCTCCTCCGCCAAGATGACCCCGAGCGCTTCAGACCCCGGCCTGCGCAGCTGGCCTGAGATGACGCTCCCCGCTCAGCCGCAAGGAGCGGCTGGTCGACGACATATGGACCAAATCAGGTTGGACCAAACACTCCTTGGTGAGTATTCTGTGGTTGACCAGTTTGGAATACGGGGCCAGTTTGGTTGCACAAGTTTGGGACCATGCGAACCAGACCTTCCGAACCACACACCCAATGTGTGGCTTCAGAACCCACTGCAAATGATGGTCCTTTTGTCTGGGACAACTTGCAGTGGGACCAAGCATGTTTTGCGAGGTCCCATTCGTTTAGGGTTTATTTTCAAGAAAACAACTAGAGGTTGCAACATGGGTATGGGTCAAAATAGAGACATGGCGTCCTTTGGTTCTCCTTCAACCCCTAAGGGTATCTTCCATTTGCTTTTTCGCCCCTGGACAAAAACTAAACATGTGTCCAGTAGTAATAATTTCCCTTTAAAACCAACAAGGGGAAAAAAACACATTTCAGCAAATGGAAGGGAAGACCCGGTCAAAATCCATCCTAGATACAGATGCCTGAAACTTTTAGCAGGGGATCTGAGGGCAGCCCAGATGGGTGGCACATCCTGTTTTGAGGTGGCTGCCAAGGAAAACCAAAAGGAAAACAGAATTCTAGTTGGGGGAGTCGCCTAAACAGAGACACACCCATATACTCGGTTGCGAAATCTGCTCCCCTGCTAAAAGTGACTAACTTTTAGTTGTTTAATACGGAAAACCCATTAAAGTTGGCAAAAAGCGAAAGTCCTGCAAAATGCACCAAAGTATATACTGTCCAATTCACCCAAGGAGAAGCCAGACTTCAAAAAGGTGATCTTGCGGGCTTATAAGTTGTTGGAAAAATGACAACAGTTCCCTTCCCCAAGCAGGTCAGTAGTTTGCACCGCGGGGGCAGTTCGACCATCCCAAATGTGCAATTGCCGCAAGGGGAATATGCACACATATGCCTAAACCCTCAAAAGCTACCCCTAAAAAGGGAATTCACCAACCCTACATTGGGGGCTACCCATGCTTAAGTTGGACTTTGGGGCCTTCCGCGTGACAGGCGGAATACTAACCACTATACTACAGCGGATCTGTTGTGGCTCAAAAATCATGGCTTGACTTGCAGTGCCAGCGAAACGCCAAATAGGGGGAACACATACTCTTGTTCTTCGGGGAACAAATGAAAATGTGATTCTTACAAACCAATAGCCCCAAGTTGTCGTCTGCTCCTCAATCAAAAACTCTGAAAAAATGGAAGAGCTCCTAATTCATCCCCATACCTCATCCCTCTCTTTACCCCCTCAATCCTTACTCCCATCCCCATACCCCATCCCCATACCATCCCCTCATCTCTCATCGCCCTTGGTGCCATTTTTCTCGGTGCTCGGCAGAGCGGCAGGCGGGCTCCAGCCGGCCGGCGCGGCAGGCCCAGCGGCAGGCCGCCTCGAGCTCCTGTGCTCGATCGAGGCCAGAGATCCGGGGATCCGGGCTGGGGAGTCGAACGGTTTTTCGGAAGGCGTATGACCTAAAAAACAACGGCCATATGTCCCAGGTTACCTATAGTTTTTTTCAGAACCTGACACAAATATTGACAGAAGAGCCATGGGTCAATTGAACCTGGAGCCCCAAAAGACCAAACAAAATGATACAGAAAAAAGTGCCTTTGACCCAGAAAGCAGTGGTACTTTACGCCGGAAAAATGGAAACATCGGTCTTTTGGGGGTCTAGGAACCTGGAGTCTCCGGTCAGGACCATTTTTAAGAATGTCATTAGCTGAGCTGGGGGGCAAACTGCGGGGTTTTAGTTGTTGGGTCCATTACCAATTAAGGTGCCATTTTGGGATTCCACTTTCTGGAGCCACAGCCAAATAGAGGGGTCATGACCAACCATTTTGAAAGGGTCTTTGAGACTCCAGGAACTGGGCTGTCTGTTTGCGGATCCTCCACGAAAAGTGACTCACTTTGAGTGGGTCAAATACGGAAACTACCACTAAACACTAGGCGAAAAAGCTAAGGAACCGGATGGCTGGGAGCCACCAAGACAGTTCACCAGCCCAACAACACCAACAGCAAATAGTGAAACCTTGACCACCGTTTGTGGGGTGAAATTCATCATTGAGTAACTCGACCACAGTTTAATAGGGTGTGTCCCTGGGTTTGGGGGATGCTGGGCGTGTCCGAAGGCCAGAAATCCAGAGCCTGGCACCTTCATCCTCCTGAAAAAGAAGAAGCGTCTGAAGGTCCAGGAGGGGTTGATTCCAACCAGTCCTGTTCAAACATACATCTTTTCAAAAACCAGCTGTTTCTCTGGGTTTCTAGGGGGTTGATTCCTGGAAAGAATGGAGAACAGAAGTGCTTGTGTTGGCTGTGTCCAAACAAAGCGGTTGGTTTTGTGAAGTAAACCACGTTGGTACAACAAACGTTTTTTTTGGTTGTTGTTGTTGTTTTTGGTATCGCCCGCTCGGGGGGCGTGCAATTCCCATGGTTTTCGGGGGGGGGGGGTTTTGGGGGGGGGTTCGGGGATGATATCTTGCATGGTCATGATTCTGGAATGACACCTTCCATGGTCATGATTCTTGCATGGTGCGTGATTCTGTGTCATGTGCAGTGTTTTGGCATCATGTGTGAAAGTAGTGAAGCCCAATCATCTCGCGGAACATGGATCCCGCCTGAGTCAGAGAGCTCTTTGTTGAGTTGCAGGGCACTGTGGACCTTTGCAATCTTGTGCGGCCACAGAGGCCCCGCCGAGTAGAGCTTGAGGCAGAAGCCGAACAGCCACCCTTTGCAGAGGCTGCCGTTGCCGCGCAGCTGGTGCT